TTTTTTATTGTCTTACCATGCTGAGGGGAGATGGATTTTGCAGGTGTGTTGCTTGGCGGTTTTGTGAGATTGTACCCAGCTATTAGACGCGCTGTTGAGATTGTGTATATTCGCATTTGAAGCATTGTGAAGTTATGTCATGCCGAATAAGGAGGAAGTCGTGGGGGGAAGGGGGAAGTCGTGGCCTAATGGTTAGAGAATCGGACTCGTAACCCAAAGGTTGCGGGTTCGAGTCTCATACCGGCAGGGATTGTAGGTGGGGGGGGGGAATGTACAGTGCTCTCTTCCACCTTCAATACCACGACTGAGGTGCCCTTGAGCAAGGCACCGAACCCCCAACTGCTCCCCGGGCGCCGCAGCAAAAATGGCTGCCCACTGCTCCGGGTGTGTGTTCACGGTGTGTGTGTTCACTGCTGTGTGTGTGCACTTTGGATGGATAAATGCAGAGCACTTAATTCCGAGTATGGGTCACCATACTTGGCCACATGTCACTTCACTAAAGAAGGTTGAATTTACCTGACATGAACTTGTGAGTTCAGGTCACCACCACTTCCAGTATGTAAAATAACAGACATTTTTAAAGAAAATATAGACTTCTTTCTAGAATTTTTTTTTTAGTGCCTATGTTTTGTTTTTTTTAATGGTCAGTGACCAGTAAGCGTGTTATTTGAAAGAGAGAGCCTGATTTCTCAGGCAAACAGGGAAATGCTGCTTTTTATCCCTAAAATTATGATAACACAATACATTTTATGACCTTATGTTAATCAGATTTAGTATATTTATTAACTTGGCCTTTGCTAAAGAAATGGCCGGGATGAACGTGACATATATAAAGTCGGATGACTGAAGCCATAGGACAGGTCATAATATCTGTGCTCAATATCACCTAAAAGTGTGCTACACTGAAACGCTGATATGATTTTATAACGGTAATTGAAATTTACTGACGCTTTCAAATCGAAGTCTCGATTCTCAGTGAGAGGAAATTGTATTATGTTGAGCGTGCACTGCGTCCATTAGTAGCGGGCCATTAGTTACAATGCAAAAAGGCAAACAATTGAAATGGCCAATTTGATGATTCTTTTTCAAGGCTATCATTGTCCCGTTAATCAATCTCGGAGCATATCATTTGTGTCACATTGGCTCTAAAACGCTTTAAATTGGATTAATCTGACCCAGATTATATTGAAATCAATGAATAGTGGCTCTAAAACAAGTTTAGGAAGTTAAATGCCCCTATTAATCTTGGTGTCTGAATCCAGAGGGGTTTTTAGCTATGATGATAATCTCTTTGCAGATAGCCGTGTCTCTCTCACCGAGACTGCAAGCATCCGCAGCTGTGAAAGGACAGCAGAAGAGAATAAAAGTGATTTCTATGGTCAACCGTTTGACACATTTAAACTACGTTCACACAGCAGGCAAGGCAATGTTAGTCCCCAAAATGTAATGATATATTAATAAATTAAAATTGTTATTTTTATTATTATATTATATTAGCAATTATCTGAAATAAAAAGCTTTTGTAACATTATACACTACACCATTCAAATGCTTGGAGTCAGTATAATTCAAAAGTGATGATAAAGACATTTATAATGTTATAAAAGATTTCTATTTCAGATAAATGCTGTTCTTCTGAACTTTCTATTCATCAAAGAAATTCTACTCCGCTGTTTTCAACATAAATATAATAAATGTTTTTTGATCAGCAAATCAGAATATTAGAATGATTTCTGAAGGTTGATGTGACTATAATGCTGCTAAAAATTCAGCTTTTAAATCGCAGGAATAAATTAAAAATTTAAATATATGAATAGAAAACAGTTATTTTAAATAGTAAAAATATTTTTGTGCTTTGGATCAAATAAATGTGGGCTTGGTGAGCAGAAGAGGCTTCTTTAAAAAAAAAACATTAAAAACTTTTGACTGGTGTGTGTGTGTGTGTGAATGTATGTGGGTTTGTGTGTATTATTATTTATATATATATATATATATATATATTGCACAATTGGTGGCTGACTAAATACTTTTTTTCCCCACTGTATATATAATTTTTTTTCTTTTTTCTATTATATATGATTACATTTTTGGAAAAAACTATTAAGATTTGTAATATGTATGTATTATTATGAATATAATTTATTTTAGTTGATGGATACTACACTACATGATATTAGTCCTTAAAATAAAACTTTTTCAAAATATGAAACCAACATGAAAGAGTGCATTTCTGAGAACTACAAATTTAAATGTTTTTTTTTCTTCATCGATAGGGCTGGGTATCGTTCAAAAATTTTCGATGCCAGTACCTTGACTTCGATACCGGTTCCTGAACTATACTTTTTTCGATACCAATTTTATGAAATCAATTTTAACAAGATTACGTTATCTAAAAAAAAAAACTTGACTTAATTTTTTTAGCTTGTTGATGTTTATACAAACTCAAAGACTCATCTCCTGAGCCACTGCACAAAGGAACAAAAAATGTAGGCTAACCAACACAATAAATGCAAAATAAGTGCAAATAGTTTTAATAAAACTCAAATAGTCTTCAGTTTACACATCTGTTTACATTTCTACATATCTTTCAAATCTACATTTACACTAGTGCATGCTCATTTTAAAACGCATAGCTCAGACAGAATCATAATTTCAATTCATTTTCCACTGATTTACTGATGAGCATTAGCAGCTTCCAGCACTGTCTGCCTGTGTTCTCTCTTCCACAATCGCTGTTCTGACTCCGAGGTAATAACAAATTTAATTTCAGCAACATTACATGGCCAAAACACACATTGAACGGAAATCGGAAGTTATTAAAAACACTCGATGGTGGTTTAAAGTGAGTTTTGAGTAAAAGCGGAATATAAATCTTATGTAGCATGATGCTACAGTGTGCATGAATGGTCACGTAACGGGCGCTTTCGGTCGTGTAGTATGAACAGACATCTGCATATGATCGGAACTCCACGCAGCTCGCACACTACTCTCCACTGGAAATGAATGACTTCTGGTCTGTCGCTTGTCATTTGTCGGAGATAGTGGAAAGCCAGCTTGAAACGCATTTTAAATGCCAGTATGACGAGGATCGTTTTCATTTTAAAACAAAAACGCACCAGTGTAAATGTAGCCTTACATCTAAGGGGGCTGGGACTCTTTCACACTACAGCCTCACGTGTGAGCCACATCTCTGAGTGTCTGTAAAAACAGCACGCATAAGAAAGGGATTGCATGCTTTCGCGAGCGTCTGCAATGGCACGCGATCACAGATTGCATGCTTCCCACCTGAATCTGGTGTAACCTGTGTAAACTAGTAAGTGTGTTCAACTGAATGTATATGCGGACTGACTGTGCAGTCCGATCGGTGTATTACAGTACCACGAGCTATAGAGAGCAGACTGCTCCGTACACTTTCGAATCACTCTCGCGGATGTCAAACACATATCGATCTGCGCCGCACCACTTCTAGTCGAGCACACCTAGTGCTGCAGGCTTATTGTCCCACGGAAGTTGATGAGATTAACCCCTTAGGTATCGAAATTTGTTACCGAACGACGAGATGTCATGAATGAGATGAATGAGATGTATTTTTTGATACTCTATGGTATCGAGGCAATTCGGTCAGTGCCTAAAAAGTATCGAACTCGATACCCAACCCTATTCATCGAGGACACTCTTATTTGTTATTGACAAAAATACGACCAATTTCAAACACTTGCTTGGAAATAATTCATGTCTGTTTTACTTGGTTTTATTTATTTTCACTAGACTGTCCAGTCGCTGCCCTGTGATTGTGTGTTTGTATTTGTGATGTGGCTCTGAGACAGGGTTGTTACTGGCGGCTGGCAGATGTAGAGATGCAGCTCTGGGCACACGTTCATGTCTGCGGTGGGTTCTACTGCTTACTGGATTGTGTCGTTGACACGCATACTGTAATCCAGCCCTGGGTAAACCAGCAAACTCCAACACTGAGCTGAGACAGACCACGGGTCAGTTTTGCCACACTACTCTACCTGTTGGCCAATCCGGACCTCCAAATGGCCATAGCACGATTTAAGACTTGTGGGACGATTCCATCAATCACTGATGGATCTGAAACACTGAGCCTCAGCTGCAGGCTTGACCTTCCAGACATTGAGAATGGGATGTGTATCACACACACAGCGAGCCTCCTGCTCCAAGACATTATCATGCTATCTTTAAAACATTATGCGCAATATGTCCACCCTGACCTCAAGCCACAGCGCTGAGGAGAAGTGGCTCAAATGGCAGCTGTTTGGGAACACGCTCAAAGTACAGGCTGGATTCGCAATCGTCACGGCTTCACTCAGAGATCACTCACTGTCTGTGAAAGTAATGACAAATTAAAAATCTCCCTGTTCCTCATTCTAGCCCACAATGTGTGATGCTGTGTGTTTCGTTGTGAAATCGAAACTACTTTGTTTGGCCTTCCAAAAGAGGACACGACTAGAAATCAGTGGTTAAGTTTTATTTACAACACTGTTCCAGAACACTTCAACCCAAATATTCAGATGTGTCCAGCACATTTTATGGAAGACTGTCTGACTCACAGACTATAAGTACGTATTCATATTTAAAGCATTTGCCACTGATGATTCAACCGCGAGTTTTGAGCAGTGTAGAGTAGCGCTTGTTGTTTGTCATTTCTCCGATCACAAATGCAGACATGGTTTTATGTTTACACGGCGCGATGCAATGCAATGCGTAAAAAGAGAGTATAAGTCATTATAATCTCTGTGTTTTGCAGGACAAGTCCCCCTTATTGTTGTGTGGATCTTTATTCCTTGAGGACAGGAGAGATGGTCAAGTCCATACAGTTTAAAACGCCCATCTATGATCTGCACTGCAACAAAAGGTGCATTTGCACACATTTTGTTCTTAATTTTACCTTGTAATAATTTTTAATGCAGCATTAAGTTTGTAAAAAAAAAATTCTGACTTTATCTCTATCCCTTGATGACCATAGGATCCTCGTAGTTAGTCTTCAAGAAAAGATCGCTGCCTTTGACAGCTGCACCTTTATGAAAAAGTTCTTTGTCACAAGTAAGTGCTTCACGTTATAGATGTGTCTGCTGAACTTGACCCTTCTTGACCTTCTCTAGTCTCCGACGCAACTTTGCGTCTTTGATCTGCAGCTTCGCAAAACAGGAAACCTAGTCTTGATTAATCCTCTTTGCACACTGACTTCATTAAACCCACAAAACCCCACATAACCCTCATACGTGCTGTCACACCAATGGAGCCGTTTTTCCTTGTGTCACTCCTCACGGCTATACGATATCAAAGCTCATCCACAACTCCACAGGCCTGCTTGTTTACACAAATGGCTTTTGTTTTATAATGTGTCAGAACTGGACACGTCTGTGTCAAGCTGCCATTGTGCAGCGTAAACAACAACAAACAAATGCATATTGTCACTCAGCCCAGCTCTAGCACATAAAGAGCAATTTCATCTCCTCCAGTCTAGACCACGGGCGGAATCCGAATGGCTTTTTTGCACCCTTGAAAGAGATGCTGCTCATAAGGTCCCAACTCTCATGTGCGCGACTGGTCTTCGTATATGGTTTCAGAAGAATAAACTGTCCATGTCACCATGTGAAACCAGGCCTCTGCTGCCCACTTAAGCAATCATCTGTTGTAAATTGCCATTAGTGTTGTTTTAATGGCTCTCATTGTCTATCCGACTTCCCCGTCAACGTCTGCGCCACAGGAAACGGGCATGGTCAATAACCCTTTACATCATTAATCGCTTCTCTAAAGCTTCCTTAACATACAAAGAACAAGACTGTATTTTTTTAAGTGACAGACTGAAGTCCATAGTTATTATAGTTAACTAAACTATTAAAAAAAACCTGAAATCATAAAAAAAAAGTTCCTTAGGTGTAATTTCCGGAATATAAGTCACGTTTTAACATGCTGCGACCTATATTTCAAAGCAAAGAGCATACATTTGGATTTGTGCCAAATGAGAAAGGTATTTCGCTTTAAATAAAATGGTTTAGACTTGGCTATTTTAACAAATGTTGTTTATAATGAATGCCACTATGACTTATGTTTGTTTTATACTGAAATGTTTAATTCCTACTCTTTTCTGAATACTGTTATGTTATAAAGATTTGTTGTGGAGTGAGGAGAACTGAAATACATGTCCATAGTGTTTATAATGTTTGGAAACATTTAATGTTATTTTGCATTTCATTGGATTACATTACATTTCAGTATTTTTACATTTATTTCTTAATATAATGATAACCTGAAAGTATTTTAGAATTTTTGTCTAATGTATTTGTCTAATGTAATTTATAACTTTTTGTTAATTGCATACTTTGTGTAATTTATTCAGAGATCGCCATGAAAATAGCCTTGATGCTGGCACAGCGTTAAGAAGTGAATAAATAAATAATATAATGATAAAATATAAAGATAGATGCGTTTTTTTGTCAACAACACTTTTTTTTTTCTTCTGGAAAATACAGTATGTGAAATAATATAAATGTTAACTGAAATAAAAACAGGAGGGAAAAAAAATCAGCTAGTTGCCAAGGAAATATTTCAAATTTTCAATAAGTTTAACTTGGTGTACTAAAACAAACAAAATTAAAGCTGAAATAAATTAATGAAAGAAATGAATCAAATAAAAACTATATAAACATAAAAAAAGTATAAAAATGGCAGGAACACACAAACACAAAATTATTAAAACTTAATAATTTGAAATTAAAATGAAAACAGAAAATAGAAAAATAAACTAATTAGAAAATCTATAATAGTATCTCTGTGATGCTAAAATAACACTGCCAAAGAAATATGAACAATACAAAATATGGAGTTCTTTTATAGGCTATGTGCCCCACTGGCCTGCATGTTGTTTCTCATTACTTTTATGTTTTTTTTGGGGTGGAAGTGTTGAATAAGGTCTTCTCTTTCTGGCTGTGAGATCACAAAACAATGGTGAAAATCCCCCAAGCCCGGCTCACAGGATGTGTTAAACATACGTTATCTCACTGCATTGGCTCCCTCCACTTTGGAAAGGCACAAAAGGCTTTTGCATTACTGCGCTTGTGGCTTACCTCAAGTCCCATTCACCCGAGTTTCAGATCCAGTCTCTACACCCTAAATTACTGTCTGCGTATATTTTATATTCACTCCATGCTATAAATTACTGTCAGCGCACTTCACACTGTGATATGCACTTGCATAACCTTTCCGTGTGCAAAGGCAGAGAACGATGTTTGGTGTTTCTGTGCTTATTTATCTGATCTGCATTTGCTTGCATGTTTGCCCTGTTTGTATGTGTCCCACATGTGATGTACAGCTTACATTATCATGGCATGTGGGATCAGTACAGATTCTATGGCTGTATTGCTCTCATGGGTCAATCTGTCTGGCAGTTAATAAGCTGAGGAGCCATCCTACTGTCACAAAATGCCATAACCCTTATTTAACCTCTGGTATTATTCTAACCCTAAGCTCTAGTAAAACACAGTCTTGGGTGAGATGCTGCTATGATGGATAATTTATGTGTTCTTTGTGCTGTTATTTAGTTCATCTCTTGTTATATTTGTGTGTTTTCCTTTGTGTTGCAGGCTGCTACCCCTGTCCTGGGCCCAACCTCAACCCTATAGCTCTGGGAAGCCGGTGGTTGGCCTATGCTGAGAACAAGGTAGTACAAACACCCAGTATTTTAAACAAAAATAAATGCCCCCAAAATACCTTTTTTTTTTTTTTTTTTTTTTGGTTTAGTAACACATTTTGTTGTGCCCCATCCAGATGTTTTTAAGCACAAGAACATGCCCTTTGTAAACGCTCAGTAACACCTAATAGTCCGCCTGATAGTTCAGGCCTTCCTTAAGATGATAGTTCGTTGCTTTAACCTTAAATCAAACTGCAGCCATCTTATGAATGTTTTTATTTCTTACGAATTGCACATATCATTATAAAGACAATGTACTGTTGGTGCACTGCGTTTAAAAATCATTCAATATGGTGGTGAAATCATTACTGTTCATTACACTGGCCAAACTTTTTAATTTTTTTTTTTTTTTTAAACCGTTGCGCTTTAAGGACATTCAGTATGATCACACTTTTATTTCTAAGACACGATTGGCCCAGTAATCCTTAGCTGTGTCACATTAATTCATGATAAACCTGTATCCAAGGCAAGGAATCAGCTTAAACCTTATAAGTTTTTTATCAAATTTGTGTTTTTTTCTTTGCACTTACATGTGTATTTTCAGACATGCTTTCTTTCCTGTTTGCACAGCTCTAAATGAAGCTCATAATGTGTGCATCCCAGAGCGGTCTTGGCGTAGTCCTCAGTGATTCAGAGACCCACTAGAGTTCATTTAGTGGTGCGAGAACCTTGGTGCTTAACCTTTCATATGGTTCCAGTCTCCTCTCCTTGTTGCTTAATTGATTTATTAAGCCCACATCTGTATTCCCCGGCCGCCGGCCTGATCACCGCCTAACGAGCGCTAACAGCTTACGTGAGAGAAGTACCATTAGTCTTAATGGCGGTATACATCAAAAGGAGCACAGCAAAGGTTAGCAGAGAGGAAAACAAGGTTAAAAAAGCCTTGATACGCAGACAGGCCGTCTGCAGACGGGGCTGTGATTTATAACCATCTCCTCCGCTCTGACACACGGTCCCTGTGCTGAGTGGCTCTGAGTGCGGCCGTCTGGGGGCCAGGGGGCCATCTCCCATCAATCCTGTAACACAATCACAAAAAAGGAGGGGGAGGGCGCCTTTTGCAAAATTGAATTCTTGCAAGGCACAGATTGTGTAAATGAGTGCGATGTGACCAAAAGAGAGATGTCATTGTGCCAGCCGCAAGTCTGCATGAGCGGGGTGCCCCAGGGCTCTGTTTTCAGACCTCTGCCGTTGTGAACTGTGTTTGGGGTAAGTGGATAGCACAGCTTACGTAGGGTCTCTTCTAGTTCTCACTTAATGGAGTGAGCATTGCTCTATGTGTGTGTCTGTCTGCCAAGGCCCCGGAGAGCTTAATCAGGCATTCAGGCCAAGCGGCAGCGTCAATACCTCGTGGCGCCTGTGTTTGTTGGGCCCTTTGGAGAATGCTCTGACAAGCCCACTAACTGACTGTGTGTAAATTGCTTTGCCCCATCAATTATTAAGAGAAGCGTTTGCCTCCTAATTGATCAACACTAATGTGTTTTCTAATCACTGCAGTTAGAGTTTTTAGTGCTAATCCAAACAGTCCCCATTGATCAGGGTTGGCGAGGGGAGGGGGCCGCCGGCTGGTGGCAGACACTGCACTGACTGCCGTGCCAGAAATCGGACATTTCTTCTCAGCTCTTTTCTCAGAGTAAACATTGACACTGACTCGCACAAACACTAACCGTTAGCCTGCATGGCTAACTCACACACCTGTCTGTTGACATTGCCTCAAACAACACTGGATGCAAACATGTTTTTTAGGTCATTGCTCAACAAAATGTCTGGATGTACGAACATTGTTTGCAGTATTGATTTGAGTGTTGCAATAGTACTTATGTTTAGCTGGCGCAAATGTTGCTGAATTACATGTTTTCTTTCAACCCTTTGCATGAATTATTGAATATAAAAAAAATAGGTTTCATTTTACTTTAAAACATCTAATTATTCCACTTTTTTCCAACTTCATTTTTATAAAAACTAAATTGGGTAATTAAACTTATTATGCTGTTAATGGTATCGTGTTCTCAGTACCTTTGGAATGTCTTGTACTAACATTTATCGCATGGATGGATCTTTAAAGGGATAGTTCACCCAAAAATGAAAATTCTGCCATTGATTACACTCTCATGGCATTCCAAACCCGTAAGACCTTCGTTCATCTTTGGAATACAAATTAAGATTTTTGCTGAAATCTGAGAGCTTTCTGACCCTGCATAGACGGCAACGCAACTGAAATGTTCAAGGCCCAGAAAGGTATAAGGACATCATTAAAATACTCCATGTGACATCAGTGGTTCAACCGTACTTTTACGAAGCTACAAGAATACTTTTTGTGTGCAAAGAAAACAAAAATAACGACTTTATTCAACAATTTCTTCTCTTTCATGTCAGTCTTCGACGCGTGTTCACGAGAGTACCACAACACATGCATGTGGTGCTGCTGACTGGGCCTTGAATGTGTCAGTTGCGTTGCTGTCTATATGCAGGGTCTGAAAGCTCTCAGATTTCAACAAGAAATATCTTAATTTGTGTTCCAAAGATGAATTTAATTGCCCAAACTTTTTTATAAAAATTGAGATTTTTGTTTCTGTGTTTCGGTATTAAAAGAATTCTGTGCATCACTATCGTAAACCACTGCAGCTTTTTGATATTTAAATATTTTTAAAGTGTGTCTTTGTCTTCCTGTCAGACATTGAAAACGGGCCTGACAATGGTGGGGAAGGTTGTGACCCAGCTCGCTGGTACACTGCCATCAGGGGCACCTGACGAGGAGGGCACTGCCCATAGTGGCACCCGCCGCAGTCCTCACCAGTCTGGTGTGGTCACCATCATAGACACACACACTGTGGGAGAAGGACAGGTACGAATTGCTCTCTCATACATAATAATCTGTATGTTTTTTTCTAGGGATGGAGGCTTGTGAATGATGGGGTTTCTAGCACACAACAGTATCACAATAGTGGTACTGACCTTGATTCGAAAGAACCCGGATTCATTCCCCTTTTCTCCGAGATAAATAATCCATTAATCCCATTCATATCTCATTCAGTATTAGTGCTTCTTGTGGCCCAAGGGGTTTGTCGTCACCTTGTCATAAGAGCACATGCTTGACTGTTCGTTCACAGACTCCGTGCCAGGCCGCAGTCTCCTGATCTCATGATTTAGCCACTTCCTGGGGCTGTTTCCCCCATGGCTGGCACAACCATAGCCTTTTAGCATGAGATCACAGGCAGGAAATTGCAGAAGCATTACGGAAAAGGTCTCTCTCTTTTTTTTTTTTTTTTTTTTTTTTTTCACCAAGGCCTGAATGTGTTAAAAGAGGACATGTAGGTGTGTGACACATGAGCATTTTAATAGAGCACTAAGTTTAAAGGCTAACTTTAATATTTGCAGTTCCTCTGTTCAAGGATTTTTACTTGGAGAAAGGTTAAGTTGGAACAGGTTTCGCTATCCTGTTGATTCTGACCCATGTAAATAGATCCTCCCATTTAGTGGGCTGTTAAAATTGTGATAGTTAAACCCTCGATTCCCCAGAGAGTCTACCGCAACCCGATTGATGTTACTCTTATTTAGATGTATGATTTATTGTGCTTTTTTATAAACCTATACCACTCTGATTTGCCAGAGTCAACACTTTCTAAGATAGGTTTCCTGTGTTTATATCACCATCCGCTCCAGAGCCAACCTCACAAGAAGCTGCGCTCCTCCCAAAGCGGACTAGTCATGTTTTCAATGTTCACACAAAGCATCTTTATGGAATTTACTGTCAGTGCCATTCTCCCGTGACTCTAGCAGTGGTCTGGGCATTTTTTTCTCATCTCCCCCAGTCTCAGGGGACACGCCCCACCCCCCTCATCATCATCATCATTCACCTCTTGCAGCTCTATATTTCCTGCAAGAAGTTTATTTGCTCTTTGGCGCTATCCGCACACTAATACTTTTCCAAAGCAATAGCATATTCCTGTACAGAACAACATTGTCTGTTTTTGCCCCTAATAAAAGCGATCTGGTTTGTGTCACAGGAGCATTTTTTGCAGTCTGAAATAAATGTCTGGGTTTTAGAGCAAGGCTGTTTTCTGTTTGGACTGGATCCTATTAAAAGCTGCCTTGCTCCTTAATGCAACACTCCGCTACATTTATCACTCTTCTCTCCGGCTGTCTCATGTCTGGGCTTAGTTATAATCTCTTTCATGAGCAAACTTAACAGAGGGCCACTGACCAGAGAATAGCCCCTTATGAGCAACACACTCTGCTTTTTCTTTCTTTCTATTTTGCTTTTGAGTTTGAAAGTTATCAGAATTTATTTTGAATTGTAATATTTACACCCATTTTGGAGAAATGTTTGATATTTAAAATGCAAAAAAAGTTTTATTTCATACTTTTTGTTCAGTTTAGATTTTTTATTTCATATTTGATTTGTTAAATAAATAAATATTTACATTCTTGTTATTATTTTATTTTTTTACTTTTGTTCTTTTTGTTGTTGTTTTATATTTATGTATTTTTTTGTTTTGTTTTTCATATATTATATATTTGGTTTATTGAATAAATTAAAAAATGAATTTTTATTTTTTTAACAACAACGTTTATTCTTTCTTTCTTTCTCTCTTAATCTTTTTCTTTTCTTTTTTTCCTGTGATAATGTACATGAGTGTATGAATTACGGATTCACATTACAGTTCTTTTAACTGGGAGCTATTAATCTCTTTTGGGTATCAAAACGTGAAGAGATACTATAGAGTTTCTTCCTGCTCTGTTTGTTTTAACTCCTTCAACATGGCACTTTTTCCTTCCTGTCTGATACAGAACTGTTGCACTGTGGGCTTTGGCAGAATATGCACATTGATCACAGTGGTCATGTGGGTTAGTCTTTATTTCTTTGAAGCCGTGTTCATAAGACACACCAACATATTTGCGGGCATCTTTTAAAAAAATGTCTTTGAATTCCATAATGAAACTATTTTGCCGAACATGCGTCATTTAAAGCTAAAATCTTCCAGTGTGGATTAAAGTAGACACAAGGATAATTGTTAAGCACCCGCAAGAGGACAGCATGTTTAAGGCTGAATGACATGATGGGGAATGGATGATGATCATAAAAAAAAAAAAACACACATGGAAACCTTTTCAGCTCCATACAACGGAGCACAACTTGGAACAAACTTTGTTTTAAACAAAATGCCAAAACTTATCTTTGTAAAACTGATTCAATCTTATGTAACAGTGAAGATCAGATTGCACAGGCCACTGTAGAGCTAATGACCAGCTATGTGTCTAAAACACTGAGACGTGAGGTAAACAAGAAGTCAGCTTATATTTATGTAGCTCTGTCAACTTACTGTAGCTTTATTGTGTGTTTTTTGGGTGTATATGTTTCAGGTACTTGTTAGTGAGGATTCTGATGGAGAAGGAGTGATTGCACATTTTCCAGCACACGATAAGCCTATATCCTGCATGGCGTTTAATCCGAGTGGTAAGTGAACACCTCATTTTGATGCCTCACTGAGTTCTACCAAAGCACAAAACTCTAGGCACTTGGTTGGCATACGTTTACATGGTCTTAAAGGGGACGCGTTGTGGCTATCCCTTGATTTTTTAAAATTAAAACAGTTTGATATACAATGCAGATTTATTCTGTTCACAATGCAAAGTTCTCTTCCTAGTCCACCCAGATCAGTAACATAAACTGTATTGACCTGCTCTGATAACCAACACTGTACTGCACTGGTATGTGGAGGTTAGCCAATCATAAAAGAGTGCATTTTCATATAGAAGTCTTAAAGGTAGAGTAGCAACCTATTTAAGGGGATAGTTAAGATTCTATCATCATCTACTTATCTTTATGTCTATGCAAACCTGTATATTTCTTGCTTTTGTGGAACACAACTGGAAGTATAAAATGGAGATGTTGTTGACTTTTCCATATGGTCTTTCAAAGTTAGATTTTAAATTTAACAGAATATTTATTTTTGGTTGAGCCATTCCTTTAATTCTATGGGTGAAAATGGTCACTTAAAACTAAAGTTTGACTCTTTTTACTGCAGGAAAGGTTGTCTAATATTGGACTTCAGGGGGAAAAAAAGAATGATACAAAAGTGTAAAATAAGGCCCATTTGAGAAGGAGATGGCGGTGTCAGTCATGTCACCTTTTTACATGTAACCTCATCTTGTTCTGAAAGCGTTACTGTCTGCTTGGCCCTTAAGATCTGTTGTTCTGAAAAGCAGTCATTGTGTGTCTTCTGATGAATCTACCCCTGGCACATAGGTCACTGTCATTTCTTCCTCTTTTTCCTCTATCCAGCCTTCTCTTTCTTCCCTCTTGTCTCTCCTTAACACGTAGTGGAATATTTAGTGATCATTGATCTTGTTCATGTTTGCCTCTCTTGAATTTTATTGAAGTCAACAAAGCCCTCGGTCTCTTTCAGATGAAATACCCCAAGCGCTGAACAGGTACCGTTTCATACCTTAAAGATGAGAAGAGCCGTGCTATTCAGAAGGCGCAGGACGGGCTCATAATTCTTAGCACATTTAGACGCCACGTCACAACATGCTTTAGTCATTATAAGGGCCGTTATTCATTACCTGTTGGATTTTGCACCTTGATTTTTATTTATATTCAAGATTTATTTCATTTCATTTTATGATTCTTTCCTACTTGAGAACCATGACTTTATGTCACTAGTCCATGGCTCCAACTGTTTCTTGGATTTTATGGAAAAATACAGTAAAACCATGGTAGCATTGCCCTCAAGCCGCCCTTGAACTAGCGTCTTGGCTCATTTTGATAGGCAGTTATCTGATCACGTTTCAATTTTACATATAGTCATGTTTGTTTCTCCGGATATCCAGTCCAGTCACAGTGGCTCATTGTAAGGTGTGCGTCACAGATTGAGAGTCCTTCTAATAAGAAGGTGCTGAAAGCTAATGATAGCCATTGCCCTAAGTGAAATCTTTCACATATCTGTCCTTACTAAGAAATACTATGGGAGACTCCATTGAGGATGAGTCATTGTGTACATTAGTATACAGCTCCAGGTGCAGATGATTTTTGCATTGGGTTACTAAAAGATTGTAAGGAAATGGTGCATATCTTAGTACATCAAAACAATCCTGATGGATGTTCTGTATCAACCGCACAATATTGAACTGATGCCAAGCCATGCCATAAAACTCGTGCCTGTGAGCTGCTTGGGTACAGAAATATTATAAAGAGGATTTATGCAAAGAGCAGTTTAGAACAAGTACATATAACTTATTAATTTATGATTGATTGATTAATTAAAATATTTTATTTGTTATTATATAATAAAACTTTGTGGACTTTGACATTGGTCTACTTATTTTTTTATTAAATTTATTTTTATTTAAAATAGATTTATTCTAATCACAGCTCTATACTGTGATTGTCATTGTCTCATTTGTTTCAAATTATTTTATAGTTTCTATTTTAAGAGAAACTTTAGATTTTTTTGTTTGTTCAGTATTTAAATGAAATATTAGTCAGAAAATTGTCTATATATATACAGTGGGTACGGAAAGTATTCAGATCCCCTTAAATTTTTCACTCTTTGTTATATTGCAGCCATTTGCTAAAATCATTTAAGTTAATTTTTTTCCTCATTAATGTACACACAGCACCCCATATTGACAGAAAAACACAGAATTGTTGACATTTTTGCAGATTTATTAAGAAAGAAAAACTGAAATATCACATGGTCCTAAGTATTCAGACCCTTTGCTCAGTATTTAGTAGAAGCACCCTTTTGATCTAATATAGCCATGAGTCTTTCTGGGAAAGATCTTTCTGGCAACAAGTTTTTCACACCTGGATTTGGGGATCCTCTGCCATTCCTCCTTGCAGATCCTCTCCAGTTCTGTCAGGTTGGATGGTAAACATTGGTGGACAGCCATTTTTAGGTCTCTCCAGAGATGCTCAATTGGGTTTAAGTCAGGGCTCTGGCTGGGCCATTCAAGATTATTTATTATGAGTAATTTCTCAAGTTATTATCTATTAAGACTAACCGCCTTGTTTGTTTTTAGTAATTGTATTTATTTTTCTGTTAATTTATTAAATCCCATTAATTCTTTCTTCTCAGTTTGGAAGCCCCATATTCTTACCTTCGAATATTTCAGCATTATCGAACCATTACATTCTTTTGATTCGCGTATAAAATGAGGGGATACAATGCAGTGAATTACACCCTTCTAATTAGATTGTCCTGACCTCACTTTGGACAGAGCATGTTTGTCTCTAGGTGGCGCTATTGGTTAACCTTTAGACCTCAGAATAGCAAGCCACCTTTTCCCCATTAGCATGTGTGCAGCAGGAGGTGGAGGTGAAGTCCCATCACTATGGTCAACTGCACTGGAACTTTCAGCCCAATAGTCCTTTTATCTTCATGAGTCAGTGAAAAGTGCTATGGATCACGGGGCAAAGCATACATACAGTCAACAATCAAGGCCTGCTCAGGGACATTACTTGTGCAAATGTGTGTTTTTCTTAGATCAACAAAGAATTGAAGGTCACAATAAAAACAAGTGTGACTACATAACCGTCTTATCAATCTGAAAAAAGTGTGACCATCATTTTTATATATTTTGGTGAACAAAACATTTTTTTGACACAAAAAATTTTTGGTAAACATATATTCATGATTATTTATTTAATTTACTTTTTATATTTACACTACCTCTCAAATGTTTGCAGTCTGTAAGATTTTTTTGAAAGAAGACTCATCAAGGCTGCATTTATTTGATCAAAATACAGTAAAAACTGTAGTACTATGAAATATGACTTCTATTTTAATATATTTTAAAATATAATTTATTCCTGGAGGTGAAGTCCCATCACTATGGTCAACTGCACTGGAACTTTCAGCCCAATAGTCCTTTTATCTTCATGAGTCAGTGAAAAGTGCTATGGATCACGGGGCAAAGCAAACATACAGTCAACAATCAAGGCCTGCTCAGGGACATTACTTGTGCAAATGTGTGTTTTTCTTAGATCAACAAAGAATTGAAGGTCACAATAAAAACAAGTGTGACTACATAACCGTCTTATCAATCTGAAAAAAGTGTGACCATCATTTTTATATATTTTGGTGAACAAAACATTTTTTTGACACAAAAATTTTTTGGTAAACATATATTCATGATTATTTATTTAATTTACTTTTTATATTTACACTACCTCTCAAATGTTTGCAGTCTGTAAGATTTTTTTGAAAGAAGACTCATCAAGGCTGCATTTATTTGATCAAAATACAGTAAAAACTGTAGTACTATGAAATATGACTTCTATTTTAATATATTTTAAAATATAATTTATTCCTGTGATGTTTTTCAGCAGCCATTACTCGAGTCTTACTAGGCGCGTTTCCATTACAGATTTGCGCAAAACTTTGGCGACATTTTCTAAATGTCGATAAAAAAGTATTGCGAAATGACACCGTTTCCATTAACCAATGATATGCGACTAAAACGTAAACTTTTGCCTCTCGCGATAAGTCATGGCAACGGATTTTGACGGATTTTGGCTATATTTATTCAAAGGAGGCTTATGCGTGTATCTTTACAGAAGTAGCAAAGAGAGCCGCTTCAGAAAAGTGCGTGGCGCGGCTGGATTAAACCATAGACTGTATAAAAACATAAACACAAGCATTGAGTGGCCGCAATCAGCTTCAGTGACCGTATCAGTGCCACACTGCACCGCAGACGTGTACAGTGTAAATTGTCTAAGCATTAATGGTAGGGAAAGCCCCTTTATACTGGAGCGCGGCCACTTATGAAGTGTTTCTTGGAGGTTATAGTACATATATAGTACAGAATGATCATATGACTTTTGTCCTGTAAATGCGAAAAAAAAAACGTTTCCATTGCAGTTTTGCAAATTATTCCTTTTTCGCATTGCCTGAAAAAACACCATGCGAGCATAAAAACTTTTTTGCGATATATGGGCGTTTTTGCGAAATTGACGCGTTTCCATTGGGCGTATTTTCAATTCGCAATTTCAATTTGCACAATTTGAAGGGTAATGGAAACACGCCTAGTGTCACATGATCATTCAGAAATCCTTTATAATATGCTGATTTTTTGCTCAAGAATCATTTCTTGTCAATGTTGAAAACAGTTGTTACTTTTTTTTTGTAAACTGTTATGACCCTTTTGTCTACAACTCTTTGATGAATTTATTTGAAATCTTGTGTAACATTGTAAATGTTTTTACAATCACTTTTAATCAATTGAATGCCTAAATAGGACTGTGTTAAATACAAATCCTTCCAGGCTAACTGAAAAATATTGTTAAATACTGACCTGTGTTTGAGAATCACAGCTTTTTGGTTTTTCATTCTGTAATATTTTGGTTACTCTTTCACTGAAGAATTTTGTCCCAGCCTAGGGAGGCCCCAGTCCTGGTCCCCCGAGTGCTGAGCCCCCAGTGTGGCCCTTTGTCAGGCGCCCTCTACCCTCATG